AATGAGACATGGTCTTGCATGTGAACCCATTGCAGCCCAAGTCTATGCTGACGTGAGAATAAAAATATTCTACCATGATTACCCAAATTTTAAAAGTCTCATCAAAAGAAGGACAATGCATAATATGAAGTATCATTGTGTGATCAAGAGAGGACATCTTGTTGAAAATTAGCAGTTTAAAGTACATGTAGTTCTGTAATCCCACAAATTCTTTCTCTAAATTGACATATTGAAATATCACCAATTTCACATGTTGAAAGATAATACTCATCATAATTCTGTTTCGTTTTGCCTTTCCAGATGCAAGATGCTACAGTGAATATGTTCAGGTGTGGTATTGTTATCAGCCCTTTCTGTTCCTTGCTTGGAGCATCACCAGACAGAAAACTCTACCATCCCAGTCGAACGCCACCCTATGGCCTACTGGAAATTAAATGTCCAACTAATCCAAAATCAAGATTAGACTACTTGCATGTGTCTGATGGTCAGTTTCAACCTAAAACAAACCATAACATCTACTACCAAATCCAGATGCAGTTGGCTGTGACTGGCCTCACATGGTGTGACCTGTTTGTGTGGCATGAGGAGTATCATCATTTAGAAACTATTTATTTTAATCAACATGAGTGGGACACAATGTGCAAGACAAAATTGGATGACTTTTTTTTCAAGTTCTTTCTTGACTGAATTGCAGGTAAAAAATTATTTTACCTGAATGGACTTATGATGCATGCAGAATATTTGGAACACTTGTCAATACTGTGTTACTGTACCATGAAACTGATTTATTGTAGATCTGGTGTATTCATTCTGTACTACAATAACTGAAACATTTTTTAGGGAGAACATATTATCAGATTAACATAACAGGATTCATACTACAGAAAACAATAAACCCAAATAAATAACGAACACCTGAAGTGCAGCTAATTCAAATTTATTATGACATGATCTGTTAAAGTGTAATAATAGACTCCCAATACGTAATACTGATGAATAACACTACAATTTTCAGAGGACACAAATTGCAACTACATTGGGTGCAATATTTATACTGGTAATAGAAGATCCATTTTACATTAATCATGATCATATGAATTTTATCAATTACAGTTTGATCAATTTGTAATTTATCATAGGTTGCCTCCCCTTAGACATTACAATCTCTTACGTATACATTTTATTTTTCATATTCCCAACTAACTCTTTTCAAACAGGATGAAATATTCTTCATCGATTATCTAAACAGCAGCAAATGAGTTACATCTACAACCATGCCATTTTGAAAGACCTTTCTATTATGCTGGCAACTCCATCAATGTATATGCATTACAGCTTCTATTATGTATTATTTCAACCATCATTTACACAACACAGTAGTACCAAACAAATATATTTACATTCATGTTTGCCAACTGATGTGCTGTTTGGACAAGGTATTACTAACACTTGGGAAGTTTTTCAACAAATAAAAGAGTTCCAGCTAATATGCCACATGAATGAATGATGCTGAAACTGGTTTTTAAAAACACACACAAATCTATGTATTGTGCACATTTAGTGTTCAGGATAGTCTCTCACAGTCCCTGAACCACATTATTTTCCCTCTTACATAGCCCTCCCTGCAATGCTAATGCAATGCTAAAGCCATACGTTATTACATCCAGATTTCTCCAGGTTCAGTGTCTTTTTTCATCTACAAGAAAACTTTAGGGGTTGTGTTAGGTTGCACAGTTAACATATCTAACTGCAACAATTAATGCAAACAAGAGATGCAACAAAGACTCTAAATGGACCGCCCAAGGAAAACGATAGCTGCAGTTGACATGTACACATATCTCAGAATACAACTAGGAAAGGCACAGGTGTTTATCAGAGAATTATGAACATCGGTCTGTCATGATGGTATTCCAGTAAAACTAACAATAAAATTATCCCAATAGATCCAATACAGTTATACAGTTGTGAAGTTTGGGTGTAGATTTTACTATGTCAAAAAATATTGATAAACTGTTCCCAGAAAAACTACAGCTTCAGTTTTGTAAATCACTGTTAGGAGTGGGCAAGAAACCACTATCTGGGCCTGTTACATATGATTTGTGAAATTGTTATAATGTATATCGTTGATATATGTGAAATTATCTCTGTATTTTTGTATCTTTGTATCTACAGTGTTTATGTATGTAATTTATAGAATATTGCCTTGTTCCATCATAGAGTGCTATGCAATAAATTATTTTTTCAATGAAACATGAATATCCCATCTCACTGGGGCTCCTTTTCAATTTAAATGTTTCGGGTTTTTTTGTTACTATCAAAATTATATATATTAAGGACTAAGCGTTAGTCTATGTTCAGGACTAAGAGCTGTATTGTACAGATTTATTCAAGTGATATACATATATGTAAATCTCTGTGCACATGCGTGAACATGTTCAATACTTCTGATTACATTCATGAGTTACAAACACAGATTTCTCACTTGGTAGACATGGTACTTATATAAACATAGCTGTAATTTTATCAGTATTATAACTACACAAGAGAAGTGAATACTCTTGTATTGACATCTGTTGAAGATATGTATTTCTTTTAGTAATGGCCCTTAAATATTTCCGAATCATAAGAAAGTGGTATTCATCCTCTACTTCTCCAGATTTACATGATTTACATAATCTTTCAGAATGATTTACACCTGGCTGACCTCATTTCACCGGGGGTGGGGGTGGGGGTGGGGTGGGGTGGTGTGGGGTAAGGGACCTTGTACTGAGCTGACCATGGGAAAAAATAATGTTATTAATGTTAAAGGGACTTTCCCAGTAGAAGAAAAGATTTCAATAAGGGACATGCTATTTATCAATGTATGCTGGAACCCAAACGCATAGAAGGGGACTGTTTGAATACCTTAAAACAAGGTAATCTTCATTTGGAGTTACATTTTAAGTCAGTGCTTCCGGAAGGTATCAGCTGTCTCATTTACAGCGAGGATCAGTTGATTTTTAAGTGGACGAAGCGCGTAACATTAGCAACACCATGAATACACGACTACAGTGCCTCTTGAACAAAGACAGTGCTACTAAAGTGATGAAAATCAAAGTGCTTGCTGCGGGTCAGTTACCACGAACCATATCCACATATCCCGAACGATAATTTTGAATAACCAAGCCTCTCATCAACCTAGACAACACTGGACAGCTATTTGGATGCAAGATTAAAAACACACAGAATGTTTTGACAGTTTGGGAAGAAAGCCTGAGTATTATCAAAGGACATTCCACACATTTCTACAATGGAATGGCGCTTCTTTCCAACACAATACACGGATACTTTAAAGTAAAGACAGTAAAACCTTCGGACTGTATGCTTTGTTTTATGTGATGATGAAAGCCAGAGGACATTCACTGAATCATATTCTTAATCATTTTACTTTCAACTCAAGGTTAAATGATATGCTAGTGTATAGACATGTGTCTTCATTATGTTTCACCAATAGTTAACGTGGTCCTCCTCCTTAAGAGCTGTTTATGTTCATTTAGCAGTGGACCAGTGATAGTGATACTTCATCTGAAACCTCAGTGTGAGAGTCAGTATTCAATCGGAACAAGAAAATGAACAGGAGATATTGGAAACCCTATCTGGATGACCCTAAGAAATGGACCAAATACTACTATTTGCGGGCTAAAGGATATCACTAACGTTGATGATTATGTGATCTATTATGAGAAACAAGGGGTAAAGATGGACCTACCCCATTCTAAAGAGACTTTTGCACTTACTTCTCCAACCCAACAAGTCGTTTAACAGGAAAATGGAAAATCGAAAATGATGATGATGATGAAAATGGAAAATGATGATGATGATGATGATGATGATGATGATGATGATGATGATGATGATGATGATGATGCATCGTTAAGCGATGTCACACACAACAACAGGAAAAATAATATATCTGATCTCGAAGAGCAAGGTATAACACAAATGTATTCACGTACACGTGAGCTGAATAAAGACTTTTTCGATGAGAAATGACAGCTGTACATGAAAAGAGAGTTAAAAAAAGAAATGATACAAGCCAAAATAAAGATATTATCTGGAGCACGTTTAAAGAGACGTATGTACGATTTATTGCTTATCTGTATCATATAGAGGGGTCCAAAGTCACAACGAATATTGAAACGTGTAGGAGACACGAATAATATGTATCATGAAGTGATTTCAAAACTGTACAAATATAAATCTTGGGTGGAAGGCTTGACTGAAGATGATGATGAAGACATTACATGCGAGAGTGAAGGTTCTGGACAGGTCAATGAGGAGGGGCAATAAGACAATTCACAACAGATGTAAAGTAGACATTTGGGAGAGCTCCTATCCTAATGTCTACTCATTTGAAACGGAGCTAATAAATAATGAAATCTGTATATCTCTCTTGCTTGTTTGTGGCAGAATGTCTACAGATTTGTGCTACAATGTATACACACCAATAATTAAGGTGAGTGAGTTGTTATTGTCCAGTTTATGTGTTTGCAATTCTGTTCAACCAGGGGTGGTGGTGGTGGTAATTGATACTGCGGTAACAGGCGCTCGCTTTGAGATTTGAGATAGCAGATTTTCTCTACAGGCGACAGGAAAGGTTAGAGGGTGTGGAAAATATAAACATTTTGTAAAAAGACATGTAGCTAGTGATAACATCAACTCATTGTCAGAATTGGTTTTATAGTTAAAATTGAAATTGGCGTCACTAAAGTTTTTTCCAGTGATTTCAATGTTTGTTATTCGTTGATTGGTTCAATTGGTATCATATGATTTTATGATTTGATGACGTCACACGGGAATGAATAGCGTCATGTGTGCAACAATCACACTATACGTCGATTGGTGCAAAACGATCATGTGATATCGTAATGGAAGCATCGCATAAGTACTATGCGGATTCCCACGGTCAGCTCAGTACAAGGTCATTGACCCCCGTGAAAAGAGGTCAGCCAGGTGTTCAATTAGCTCACGAAAAATCTTTTTATAACCCCACCCCCTTCTACAACAGCCGTCGACGAAAACAGTAAGTACAATTTCACTATATCGGGTATAAGTTGCATCACAAAACAGTTTGAGCATTCAGTTGTAGTTGCTAACAGGGCGGTGGGGTAGCCTACTGGTTAAAGCATTAGCTCGTCACGCCGAAGATCCGGGTTCGATTCACCACATGGGTACAATGTGTGAAGCCCATTTCTGGAGCCCCCTGCCCTGATATTTCTGGAATATTGCTAAAAGCGGCGTAACGAGCAACTCACTCACTCTAGTTTGAAACCCATTTATTTATACAGATAACATTAACTGACTCGTAATACACCATTGTCTGCAGTCTATGGGACATTTCAAGATATCAGAATTCAAGTGATTGTTTATAACACAGGCAGTGACATTTGAATACAGACTTTGAATGATTTGAGACAACTTACCCCTGACACCAATACGATTCAAAAGAGTGAATTGTTTTGGGCGTTTTGCTATATCACAATGTCTTCATACACACGTTTTTGAATAACAGAATTCAATATGAATATTATTACCTGTGGTGGAATGATAACTTACGCTATATTGGGATTACACTTTTAAAAATAAAGTACAGATTCTAGAACGTGTTTTTTGTTGAGTCCAATTTGGGATTCGAACACTGTTGTTGTTATTAGTTTCTGTTCTCCTATCAGCATGGGTATACATTTTCCATCTGACACCTTGGTCTTCGTTCCTTACTTCAGCGTGTATCTAAAGTTTATGTCACAATCACCCATGTTTTCCTTGTATAGTCTGTCAAAAGCCTCGTTCTGGGCCACGGTGAAGTAATTTTTCCAGTCGCCAACTTCACCTGAAACACGGAAAATACGTAAAAAACGGTGAGTAGTATAAACAATGGGGGTACGGGACCAGCCTATATAAGGCAAGAAATCAATAAGAATCTATTCCTAACTCATATTAATTTATAAATCCATAACACAACTACTTTTCACCTCCCCTGTAAAAGTAGCCACAGTCTTACTCGAAAGACTATGTGGTACGGGACCGTATACCCATAACACAAATACTTTTTATCTCCCCTGTAAAATGTATTCCATAGTCTTACTCGAAAGAGTAAGACTATGACTACTTTAAAGGAGATAAAAAGTAACCATAGTCTTACTCGAAAGAGAGTAAGACTATGGAGTATGGGGTCATCCTATATAAGGCAAGCAATCAATAAGTATCTATTCCATAACATAACTACTTTTCACCTCACCTGTAAAAAAGTAGCTATAGTCTTACTCAAAAGAGGAAGACTATGTGGTACGGGGCATGGAATCAATAAGTATCCTATTAATTTGTAAACCTATAACTTTTTATCTCCCGAGGAAGACTGTGTTTATGTCTATTTCTAACCATGAGAGTGTCACATTTCATGAAGCAAAGGGCATCAAGTCCCTCGATGTATGAAAGGTTTATGTTACGGGTTAGATTACACAATCCTATATCTATTACATCATCTTATGTTTAACATGAAGTATGTTGGTCTATTTAGAGAATTGTTTCAGATATAGTATCAACAAACTTTGTTTGTTACTTTATAATATGTGGACAGTACACGAATTGAAAAAGCAAGCACGTGACCGTGGACTTCGAGGTTATTCTCGTATGAGGAAACATAAATTACTAGATTTATTAGATTTAAAGTATCAACAAACACTACTGTGAAAGAACTAACAAAGAAAGCTCGTGAACGTGGAATGCGAGGTTATTCTCGTATGAGGAAATCTGAGCTCATTGAATAACTGAAAGAACAAAAACCTATAGAATTACAATTCACGCCTACTGAGCATGCTGTAGGTAAATATTTGAGAGGTTGGAAGATGGAAGTTCAAAGAAACATAGACGTTGAAGATATAAAACCATTGGTATTTGACAACGTAAACGAAGAACTGAAAGATTTAAGAGGTATTAAATTTCAACTCATGTTAAACATGACACTAGAGAAACAACAGTCGAATGAAACAACTGAATACACCAATGTTTACTTCAGAGGTAATCAAGAAGTTACAACGCAACCAGACACTATCAACTCTTCTATAGACAGATCATTAGAAAAAATGCGAGAAACACTAGAACGTTACACTAATATAGGTTCTGGTTGGGTTGTTGACAAGATTAACATGGTCTACCTGGATATAGCAAACTATACCGTTGAAAGGTGGATCGTACTTACCCCTGTCTGAGTATTTCAAGAAAAAACAAGCTATGGTTAACGTTAAAAACCGAAACAACAATTGTATGAGGATAGCGATAAGATCCGCTAAATTTCCAGTTGAAAAACATTCCGATAGACTTTCCAGTTATCCAGAAGATGACGGGCTCAATTGGGAAGGTATAGACGAACCCACCCCTATCTCTCAGATCCAAAAAATAGAACAACAGAATCAAGACTTAGTCATAAACACGAAGGTAAAAACGTAATAGTACACAGGATAAGTCCTTTATTGTATAAGGATTGTCGCAAAATGATCAATATATTTATGATCCAACAAGGTGAAAAATATCACTACACATGGATAAAGAATTTAAGCCGACTGTTGTACAATCAATCGAAACACAGGGAAAAGATTTGCACAGGGTTGATTGCCTAGGTGTAGCGGAGACAGCCGTACGAATAGATATGCCGAGAGAAAAAAACAACATCTTGAAATTTATCAACCACAAAAATCAAATGCCAGTACCATATATTATCTACGCCGACTTCGAAGCTATCATTAATCCAATAGATACAGTAGCTCAATCCACTAATCAAAGTTTCACACAAAAAGTACAAGAGCACGAAGCGTGTGGGTTCGGGTATGTGGTCGTTCGTTGTGATGGTCAAACTAACCTTCCCGTTATTTATAGAGGACCAGACGCGGCTGAAGAATTTCTAAAGTGTTTACAACACGAAGAGAAAAAGATTATTAAAAAACTATACAACAAAACACCAATGCGTATGACCCAAGCAGACCGGGAAGCCCACAACAAAAGCACACATTGTCATGTGTGCTGTAAACCTCTGAATGGTGATTCAGTTAGGGATCACTGTCACATTACTGGTAAATACAGAGGTGCGTCTCACAATGAATGTAACTTGAAGCTAAGAATAAATCATAAACTTATTCATATACCAGTGGTGTTTCACAATCTTCGCGGGTATGATTCACACTTGATTATGCAAGCTATTTCAAAGGTAAAAGGCAACATATCCTTTGTCCCAAACAATATGGAAAGATATATATCCTTTTCGCTAAATGGGTTGAGATTCATAGATAGTGTTCAGTTTCTGTTGTCGTCTCTAGACAGCTTGGTCAAGGCTAATAACCCGAACGACTTAGCTGTGACTAAGTGACAGTGGAAAATACTTGACTGACTGTCGAACCTGAACCCTGCAGAATCGAAGAATACATCCTTTTCTGATCGACCTCCACCCCGCTATGCGATGAAAGCGTGACAGTGCTGCTTTGTGTACATGCGACTAACTTAGGATTCCTTGGAACATTTTTCTCATCATTTTTGACTGGATTGTGGCCAAGCTTTCCAAAGTGTACGAACATAGCAGTGACAGCATTGCAGGGAAGTTGGCAGAGAGCGGAATTCTCGTGGTTCAATTTTGTTACATTTTGAACAATGCAACCGGACATGATGGAGTATGAGTGGCATAATGTTTTTGTTTCGCCTGACCGTTATCTTGCAAATTTCCCATTCTAAACAGAAACAAATATACCATTTACCAGGTAGGTAAGTATTTACGAACGTTTTGCCGCACAAATAGGGATAGATAGGGATGTATTTTTACAAGGTTTTCTGATTTATATGTTAGATATTGTTTGTTTATGTTTGGAGCTGTGTATTGTAATTGAGTTTGAATACTTTTATAATAGAAGATAATAATTATGATAGTGAGGTGCCCTAATAATTGTGGAGGAGAAATCGTATAATTGTATTTTTCAAGTTTTAATTAATGTTTCATCAGCATTTCCATCACGTCTGTTGTGTTGATATCAGTCATGTTGGTGGCCAAGCTGAAGTAGTGCGGCAGTGTTGTATATGTGCGCAGTGTGAAGCGCCATGAATCAGACGCATTTTCAATCAAAATTGATACCGTCTGATTTTATTGATTGACCAATCAAATTCGAGGATTTCACGTAGCCATGGTAGAATGGTCAATGTTCCTGCCTTGAAATGCCTGGCGTATTTTTGATAATGTCGTAAAATCATTCTCAGTCGCTCCCATTACTAATGGCGTATGTTTTTCCCAACACGAGTGTGATCATACAGTACATTGTCATCGTCATATCATTATCATCATTATCATCATCGTCGTCGTCATCGTCGTCATCATCATCATCGTTGTCAACCTCCTCCTCCTCATTATTTTAGCCATCACCATTATTTACGTCATCGTCATCATCAGCAGCAGCATCACCACTACCATCAGCAGCAGCAGCATCTTCGTCATCGTCAACCTCCTTCTTCTCACCTATCAGTATTGAGTACACGTGGATTATCTCCTGGTGTCTATTTGCTCACTGTCATTACCGTTCAGCATGAAGGAGTAAGAATATACTCTGTTATGTTCAGTTCCTTAAAATACTGAAGTTGACAGCCATAAATGTTTCGATGAATACACAATGGGCATTTAGAATGTGGTCAAATGTAACATATGCTATATTTGGGATTACACTTTCTAAGTATAAAGAACAGATTGTTCGCGGTGGAAACCACGGTGGCTGAGCTGGTATGTGTGCTGGCGATTAGGCTCCTGACTCTGTGGCTGTGGGTTCAAATACCGGATGGGACTCAACCTAACAAAAGTACAAGAATCTGTACTTTTCTGAGAAATTTGTAATCCCAAATAGAATGTTACATAAATATATCCCCTGGCGAGAGTACCCACCTTTTCTGTACATAACAGGTGAACCGTCAGGTGCTGTGACTAAGCTTCCTTTCTTTTCCTTCATTTTGTTGAAACTCGTCAACTCTTTTACTTTAAGGTAGAATTCCTCTGATTTCTCAGCATTCAGAAACTTCGCTAACTTTCTAATACCAGCAAGTGGATCCTGAAACAGATGAAATAATGGCCTACATTATCCCTATGGTAGAAAGATAAGGTCAAAATACCGGTATGTCGAAGTTTTTAGAGTATTTTTAGAGTTTTAATAAATGTTTTATCAGCATTTCCATCACGCCTGTTGTGTTGATATTAGTCATGTTGGTGGCCAAGCTGAAGTAGTGCGGCAGTGTTCAGCTTGACCTGAGCTACTCTACATATGCATGACCCGGGAGGTCAAATGGCACAAACGGCATATCGGGTTATCTTCATTGAATAGGGGAGCAGAAGCAAGCATACATAGATTCGTTACAGAACCTGTCCCGAAAAACAACACTTCTGGAAAAACAACAACAATCATGTCATACAGTCATATGCTATCTAGATGGGTTTGCCAACTTTACAACTTACAGACGTCAGTTACTTTCACAATCCGATTCACTCTCGCTATCACTCTTTACACCCAGTTCAATTATCAATATTTCTGCCCCAGTAGTCGCTTTCCAAATTTTCAACATGGGCACAGCAATCACTACACTCGTTTACACCAATCATCTGAGAAAGGTGCACCCCTTCACAATAATAGACTCAACCAATTGTGACACGGTCACGTAATTCATTAGTATTCACTTGATCAGGTCAAGCTGAACAAGCTGTACGTGCGCAGTGAAGCACCGTGAAATAAGACGCACTTGATACCGTCTGATTTTATTGATAGACCAATCAAATTCGAGCATTTCACGTAGCCATGGTAGAATTCGAGTTACCTGAGGCTTGACATAACCGCAAAATGATGACTACGGAATAGGTTCGGACCAAAAATATACTTCGAGAGAACCGTAAATTCGACACATCAGGATTCGACACCCGGATATGACTGATTCGAATCATTGCCGTCAAGCTCCTATCGACTTCCCATCCAAGGGTACACTGTTTGTCATCTGAGGCCACATGGAGGCGAAAGTGCCCGACATGCATCAATGCACAAGGTGGACACACTCGTCGACGAAACTTGCCTTGCCTCTTGCCTTGTGGCTCTTTTGCATATGCCAGGAGCGCTATTCTTATGGACTGATGATCGTTACCTAACCTTGATACATTTGTCTTTCCATGTAAGAACGTTTCATTCGCAGTAGTTAAAGTTTAACACTGATTTTGCCTGTTCTTGTGTGTTACAATAACTTTTGCCTTTGAATATACTATATTAATTATGAATTGTATTGATAAAGGGCAAATGGCATTCAGCTAACATGACATGCGAGAATTTTCGACAGTGATAGCGTCCGACACAGCGCCAGTCTACGAATCAAGGGCAGCTATATTAGACGCCTCATTTGTGTACAGAAAACAGAATCTTCTCGAATATCTAGTTTCTTAAAACCCATTTGATGATTTAGATTTAATGCATTAACCATTACTATCACATAGTCACATGGACATTGCACAGTGCAGTTACAGATGTAACAACTGCCGTACAGTACATTGTTACCTCTTTCAGATCTTCATACACCAGGGTCAAGGTCGGCACGTCGGGATGGGTTTCGCCAATGGCAGCCCAGTCCTTTAAATATGTACAAAACGATCCGTAGTCAACTGAAATGTGGAGACTTTGTTATCAGTGGTGTTTGCAACAAATCATCGGTTCTATTTTATTTTGACCTTCGTTTTGGCGTGTATTACAGTTAAGACCCCTCACCAGGCATATATACACAACAACGTTATTAACGCAGTATTGATTGCCAATCATTAAATCGTATCCCACGGATGTTATTATACGTGATATTAACGACTAGAATCCAGCATAGAAACTTGCTCCACATCCATGCTCGACATCACTAAAAGAAACAACAATTGTCATGGGAAATATTAAATTTGCATTAATATATACGTAGAGCTGCGAAAGCATTCTCCTCCCTAATATACTCTATCCTTGTTGACACTGATAGTTTATGAAAGGAATCCATTCCCTGATTGTAACGAGACTCACTTTGGGTGGCACGGTACCGCATTAGACATACAAATACACTCATTTGGATATAATACTATCACACTGGAGTTGTATTCTGAATATTCTGGATGTCTACTCTGGTCATTATTTCCAAAACCATGCTATACTCGTCGTAAGAGGCGACTAACGGGATCGGGTGGTCAGGCTCGCTGACTGGGTTGGCACATGCCATCGTATTCCGATTGCGTAGATCGATGCTCATATTGTTGGTCACTGGATTGTCTGGTCCAGACTTGATTATTTACAGACCACCGCCATATAGCTAAAATATTGCTGAATATTGCGGCGTAAAACTAAACTCAATCACACACAACAGCTCTTACCTTTTCCATCCATCAGTAAAGATAAGTGGTTTTCCCATTTCCCATGATAATCATAAATTATAGTCAGTTTCTTGTGGTGGTGGAAGAACGACACTGCCATGTCCTTGGGGTTTCGGAGGATGTAGATTATTTTGCACTTCTTCTCAAACACACCACGTGGCAGCTGTTCAACAAGACAGTGCGTGTTTAGGATCCGCGGGGATGGCAGTTTCTCCAAGACATCGTTTCCAACAAACTCTATCATGAATTTCTCCTTATTGATAACAGTTGCGGTATCCTCCGACAGAAGAAGACGGGCCATTTCCCACACCCAGTGCGTGCCTGAAAAATAAGGAAAACAGAGAGATCAATTTAAAGACACTATATCACACCACACGTCTCCAAAATATATAATGCATTTCTCTCAATATAATGTGTGAAGCCCATTTCTGGTGTCCGACGGAACATTATTTCAACCCCATAGAGTTATGTCCCTTGGAACGTTCTTTAAGAATATCCAACGCACAACTTGTGATTGAAACGGTTTAACCAGTTCGGCAAACACCGACAACATCGTGTGCGACAGTTTCCGATGTACGGAGCAATTTTTACATTCCATATATGGCAACTGTTCTCTGTTTGGAAGCTGTTTCGCTTATTGATTTCAGGCAAGTCATAATGGATAATAAGTCTTTTATTGCATCAATAGGAAGTGAGTGCCTATGCCCCAATATATATAATATAGGCCAAACTATAAACCGAAACTGTGTGACATTGTACCTTTAAGATTTCGAAGCGAGGTGGGTAAACCAGGACCTCGTTCCACAAAGGGATCGTAGCGCTACGACTGTCGTAAGTCTATGTTAAAGTATGGGGGTTACGATCACCTAAGGGTTACGATCACTTTGAGGAACCCGGGCTTCAAGCGCTCGAGCTCATCAGTCCGAAGGCCTGGTTTCGATCCCCCATATTTGTACAATGTTCCTGCCATGAAATGCCTGGCGTATTTTTGATAACGTCATAAAATCATACTCAATCGCTACTATTACTAATGGCGTATATTTTTCCCAACACGAGTGTCACCATATAGAACATCGCCAGTAACTTCTTTGAGTGGCATTTGTTAGAAGTTGGAGAGTCAGATAAGGACAAACTTTATGGATTAACAACTTCTTTATTCAGGTGGTGCAACGTTTTGATACAGATTCTTGTATCGTTGTCAAGCAGGTATGAGTAAGTAAGAAGAAAACAGGGTTATATATTGTTTTGTTAATTCTATACTGCATATATAATACAGTGTTTATATACCCTGTATTATATATGCAGTATATAATTAACGAAAACAACAAGAACGATAACTGAGAAGACAGAGTGCCTGATGCCCTTTGTATTGAACTGAACCATCTGAACTATATCTTCACTTCCCTCAATGATTACTCTACCCACTTGGTCTCTAAAACCATAAACCCTCAAGAACTCCAAACCAAAACCCAAACCTGCTCCATCACCCAATCACAATCCCCATACACCTACCAAGTCCTGTCAGCCTTTAGATGTCCCACATCTTCAAGAACCTACACAGACGTCACCGTTTCCACCGACAAGACTATAAGGACACGTCAATGGCAGCGGCACCAACGGGTCGAGGTCCAATCCAAGAGGATGTATTTACCAGATCCCCTGTGTCAACCACCAATACATTGACGAAACCATCAGAGCCCTTAACTACAGACCAGACCTCCGTAAATCGTCTGTCATTTCCGAACACATCAACAAGAACCCAGACGACGCCAACATGTCATCATCACCATCTCCGTCATCGTCATCGTCGTCGTCATCAGCATCGTCGTCATTATCACCATGCTTTTCGTCGTAGTCATCATCATCACCTACCAGTACTGAGTACACCTGGATCAACTCCTGGCTCCTATTTGCTCACTGCCATTACCATTCAACGCCAGTTATCTGCTTCCTAGCTGTCATTCACAGCATGAAGGAGAAAGAATATACTCTGCTATGTTCAGTTCCTCAAATAACAGAAGTTGAGAGTCATAAATGTCTTGATGAATACACAATTGCATTTAGAAAGTGGTCAAATGTAACATATGCTTTATTTGGGATTACACTTTCTCAGTAAAGTTCAGAATCTGTGGAAACCGCGGTGGCAGAGCGGGTTAGGTGTGTTGACTCTGTGTAGGCGCCTGACTCTGAGTAAAGTAGAAGAATCTGTACTGTAGTGAGAAATTGTAATCTTAAATATAACATATGGTACATATATGTTTCCCTATATTATATTGATTTAGTAGAGGTAGTGGTAATGGAAACAATACTATAGTTTGATACTTTATAATCCTGGACATTTCTACAAAATGTATACAACATGACACCATGAAGCAAACGCATGTTTCTGTCATCTAACATCTCATCAAGATAAACGGTTGCTTGAAGATCAAACTTTCACCCTAGAGAGGCCGTGGGGTATCCTAATGGTTAAAGTGTCCGCTCGTCACGCTGAAGACCCGGGTTCGATTCCCCACACGAGTACAACGTGTGAAGCCCATTTCTGTTCTCCCTGGCCGTCATATTGCTGGAATATTGCTAAAGGCGGCGTAAAACCATACTCACTTACTCACTACACCCTGGATATCCTGCCTTGGCCTATTTGGAGAATTGTTGCTGCTCGGGGAATACATTTATCTCTTACTTTCTTGTTGTTACCAATGCTGTTTAAACCTGTCCACCTAGCACTGGACAACCACTGGAGTTTGTACTTCCATTGCGCACTACCATTGTAATTAATATATGATAATTTGAATTGATTTGCAAACCAAGTTAATTTCGTAGTGCATTTTTCAGTTACATAACAGTTCTTAGTCGTTTGTTGGTTACATACCTAATCATGTTGCATGTATAATTCTGGGTTACTTGGCGTTCACCACACTTAGGATAGGCGCTCACTACATTTACAATAAGCCCTCACCACTTTTGCGATAGGCACTCACCACATTTAACATATGCACTCACAACATGCAAGATAAGCACTCACCACATATAAGATAGGCACTCACCACATATAAGATAGACACTTACAACATATTCGATAGGCCCTCACCACATATCAGATAAACACTCACCACACATAAGATATGCACTCACCACATATAAGATAGGCACTCACCACATATAAGATAGGCACTTACAACATATTCGATAGGCCTTCACCACATATAAGATAGACACTCACCACATATAAGATATGCACTCACCACATATAAGATATGCACTCACCACATATAAGATATGCACTCACCACACATAAGATATGCACTCACCACACATAAGATATGCACTCACCACATATAAGATATGCACTCACCACACATAAGATAGGCACTCACCACATATAAGATATGCACTCACCACATATAAGATATGCACTCACCACACATAAGATAGGCACTCACCACATATAAGAAATGCACTCACCACATATAAGATATGCACTCACCACATATAAGATATGCACTCACTACACATAAGATATGCACTCACCACATATAAGATAGGCACTCAGAACATATAAGATAGGCACACACCACATATAAGATATGCACTCACCACATATAAGATATGCACTCACCACATATAAGATAGACACTCACCACATATAAGATAGGCACTCACCACACATAAGACATGCACTCACCACATATAAGATAGCACTCACCACATATAAGATATGCACTCACCACATATAAGATAGGCACTCACCACATATAAGATATGCACTCACCACACATAAGATATGCACTCACCACACATAAGATATGCACTCACCACACATAAGATAGGCACTCACCACATATAAGATATGCACTCACCACATATAAGATATGCACTCACCACATATAAGATAGGCACTCACCACATATAAGATATGCACTCACCACATATAAGATAGACACTCACCACATATAAGATATGCACTCACCACACATAAGATAGGCACTCACCACATATAAGATATGCACTCACCACATATAAGATATGCACTCACCACATATAAGATAGAACCACATATAAGATAGGCACTCACCACATATAAGACATGCACTCACCACATATAAGATATGCACTCACCACATATAAGATAGACACTCACCACATATAAGATAGGCACTCACCACACATAAGACATGCACTCACCACATATAAGATATGCACTCACCACATATAAGATAGGCACTCACCACATATAAGATATGCACTCACCACATATAAGATATGCACTCACCACATATAAGATAGACACTCACCACATATAAGATAGGCACTCACCACACATAAGACATGCACTCACCACATATAAGATATGCACTCACCACATATAAGATAGACACTCACCAGATATAAGATAGGCACTCACCACAAATAAGACATGCACTCACCACATATAAGATATGCACTCACCACATATAAGATAGACACTCACCACATATAAGATAGGCACTCACCACATATAAGATAGGCACTCACCACATACAACGTATGAAGCCCATTTCTGGTCTCCCTGGCCGTCATATTGCTGGAATATTGCTAAAGGCGGCATAAAACCATACTCACTTACTCACTACACCCTGGATATCCTGCCTTGGCCTATTTGGAGAATTGTTGCTGCTCGGGGAATACATTTATCTCTTACTTTCTTGTTGTTACCAATGCTGTTTAAGCCTGTGCACCTAGCATTGGACAACCACTGGAGTTTGTACTTCCATTGCGCACTACCATTGCAATTAATATATGATAATTTGATTTGATTTGCAAACCAAGTTAATTTCGTAGTGCATTTTTCAGTTACATAACAGTTCTTAGTCGTTTGTTGGTTACATACCTAATCATGTTGCATGTATAATTCTGGGTCACTTGGCATTCACCACACTTAGGATAGGCGCTCACTACATTTACAATAAGCCCTCACCACTTTTGCGATAGGCACTCACCACATTTAACATATGCACTCACAACATGCAAGATAAGCACTCACCACATATAAGATATGCACTCACCACATATAAGATATGCACTCACCACATATAAGATATGCACTCACCACATATACGATATGCACTCACCACATATAAGATAGGCACTCACCACATATAAGATAGGCACTCACCACATATAAGATAGACACTCACCACATATAAGATATGCACTCACCACATATAAGATATGCACTCACCATATATAGGATAGACACTCACCACACATAAGATAGGCACTCACCACATATAAGATAGGCACTCACCACATATAAGATATGAACTCACCACATATAAGATAGGCACTCACCACATATAAGATAGACACTCACCACATATAAGATATGCACTCACCACATATAAGATATGCACTCACCACATATAAGATAGACACTCACCACACATAAGATATGCACTCACCACATATAAGATAGGCACTCACCACATATAAGATAGGCACTCACCACATATAAGATATGCACTCACAACATATAAGATAGGCACTCACCACATATAAGATTGGCACTCACCACACATAAGATATGCGCTCACCACATATAAGATAGGCCCTCACCACGTTTGCGATAGGCACTCACCACATATACGATAGGCACTCACAACGTTTGCGATAGGTAATCACCACATATTCGATAGACACTCACCGCATATAAGATGCGTACTCACCACATATAAGATAGGCACTCACCACATATTCGATAGGCACTCACCACTTTTGCGATAGGCACCCAACACATATAAGACAGGCACTCACCACATATCAGACAGGCACTCACCACATATTCGATAGGCACTCACCACAAAAATGATAGGCACTTACAACATATAAGATTAGGCACTCACCACATATAAGATAGGCCCTCACCACATAAAAGATAGGCACTTAGGCACTCACCTCATATAAGATTAGGCACTCACCACATATAAGATTAGGCACTCACCACATATAAGATTAGCACTCACCACAAGATTGGATAACCACATATTCGATAAGCACTCACCACATAAACGATATACACTCACCACATATCAGATAGGCCCTGACCACTTTCGCAACCGGCACTCGCCACATATTCGATAGACACTCACAACATCAAAGATATGCACTCATCACATATAAGATAGGCACTCACCACATATCAGATAGGAACTCACTACATGTATGATAGGCACTCACCACATATAAGATAGGAACTCACCACATATAAGATAGGCACTCACCACATGGAGGACAGGCACTCACCACATATTCGATAGGCACTCACCACATATAAGATAGGCATTCACCATATATTTAATAGGCAATCACCACATATTCGATAGGCACTCACCATATAAACGATAGGTATTCACCACATATAAGATAGACTCTCACCACATATAAGATAGGCACTCACCAAATATTCGATAGGTACTCACCAAATATAATGTAGGCACACATACATATAAGATGGGCACTAACTATATATCATAGGCACTCACCACACATAAGATAGGCACTCACCACATATTCGATAGGCACTCACCATGTATAAGATAGGCACTCACCACATATTCGATAGGCACTCACAACATGTAAGATAGACACTCACCACATATTCGATAGGCACTCACCACATATAAGATAGGCACACACCACATATAAGATAGGCCCTCACCACATATAAGATATGCACTCACCACATATTTGACAGGAACTCACCACATATAAGATATTTACTCACCACATATAAGACAGGAACTCACCACATATAAGATATGCACTCACCACATATAAGATATGCACTCACCACATATAAGATAGACACTCACCACACATAAGATAGGCACTCACCACATATAAGATATGCACTCACCACATATAAGATAGGCACTCACCACATATAAGATATGCACTCACCACATATACTATAGGCACTCACAACGTTTGCGATAGGTAATCACCACATATTCGATAGACACTCACCGCATATAAGATGCGTACTCACCACATATAATATAGGCACTCACCACATATTCGATAGGCACTCACCACAAAAAAAAGATAGGCACTCCAACACATATAAGACAGGCACTCACCACATATCAGATAGGCACTCACCACATATTCGATAGGCACTTACCACATAAAAGATAGGCACTTACCACATATCAGATAGGCGCTAACCACATATAAGATAGGCACTCACCACATATTCGATAGGCACTCACCACATAAAAGATAGGCACTTACAACATATAAGATTAGACACTCACCACACATAAGATATGCGCTTACCACATAAAGGATAGGCACTCACCACATATAAGATAGGCACTCATCACATATAAGATTGGCACTCACCACATATTCGATAGGCACTCACCACGTTTGCGATAGGCACTCACCACATATACGATAGGCACTCACAACGTTTGCGATAGGTAATCACCACATATTCGATAGACACTCACCGCATATAAGATGCGTACTCACCACATATAAGATAGGCACTCACCACATATTCGATAGGCACTTACCATTTTTGCGATAGGCACCCAACACATATAAGACAGGCACTCACCACATATCAGACAGGCACTCACCACATATTCGATAGGCACTCACCACAAAAAAGATAGGCGCTAACCACATATAAGATAGGCACTCACCACATATTCGATAGGCCCTCACCTCATAAAAGATAGGCACTTACAACATATAAGATTAGGCACTCACCACATATAAGATTAGGCACCTACCACATATAAGATTGGCACTCACCACATATTCGATAAGCACTCACCACATAAACGATATACACTCACCACATATCAGATAGGCCCTGACCACTTTCGCAACCGGCACTCGCCACATATTCGATAGACACTCACAACATCAAAGATATGCACTCATCACATATAAGATAGGCACTCACCACATATCAGATAGGAACTCACTACATGTATGATAGGCACTCACCACATATAAGATAGGAACTCACCACATATAAGATAGGCACTCACCACATGGAGGACAGGCACTCACCACATATTCGATAGGCACTCACCACATATAAGATAGGCATTCACCATATATTTAATAGGCACTCACCACATATTCGATAGGCACTCACCATATAAACGATAGATTCACCTTATATAAGATAGACTCTCACCACATATAAGATAGGCACTCACCAAATATTCGATAGGTACTCACCAAATATAATGTAGGCACACATACATATAAGATGGGCACTAACTACATATATCATAGGCGCTCACCACACATAAGATAGGCACTCACCACATATTCGATAGGCACTCACCATGTATAAGATAGGCACTCACCACATATTCGATAGGCACTCACAACATGTAAGATAGACACTCACCACATATTCGATAGGCACTCACCACATATAAGATAGGCACACACCACATATAAGATAGGCCCTCACCACATATAAGATAGGCACTCACCACATATTTGACAGGAACTCACCACATATAAGATATTTACTCACCACATATAAGACAGGAACTCACCACATATAAGACATGCACTCACCACATATAAGATATGCACTCACCACATATAAAATAGACACTCACCACACATAAGATAGGCACTCACCACATATAAGATATGCACTCACCACATATAAGATAGGCACTCACCACATATAAGATATGCACTCACCACATATACTATAGGCACTCACAACGTTTGCGATAGGTAATCACCACATATTCGATAGACACTCACCGCATATAAGATGCGTACTCACCACATATAATATAGGCACTCACCACATATTCGATAGGCACTCACCACAAAAAAGATAGGCACCCAACACATATAAGACAGGCACTCACCACATATCAGATAGGCACTCACCACATATTCGATAGGCACTTACCACATAAAAGATAGGCACTAACCACATATCAGATAGGCGCTAACCACATATAAGATAGGCACTCACCACATATTCGATAGGCACTCACCACATAAAAGATAGGCACTTACAACATATAAGATTAGACACTCACCACACATAAGATATGCGCTTACCACATAAAGGATAGGCACTCACCACATATAAGATAGGCACTCATCACATATAAGATTGGCACTCACCACATATTCGATAGGCACTCACCACATAAACGATAGACACTCACCACATATCAGATAGGCCCTGATCACTTTCGCAACCGGCACTCGCCACATATTCGATAGGCACTCACAACATCAAAGATATGCACTCATCACATATAAGATAGGCACTCACCACATATCAGATAGGCACTCACCACATATCAGATAGGCACTCACTACATATATGATAGGCACTCACCACATATAAGATAGGCACTCACCACATATAAGATAGGCACTCACCACATGGAGGACAGACACTCACCACATATTCGATAGGCACTCACCACGTATAAGATAGGCACTCACCACATATTCGATAGGCACTCACAACATGTAAGATAGACACTATATAATAGGCACTCACCACATATAAGATAGGCACTCACCACATGGAGGACAGGCACTCACCACATATTCGATAGGCACTCACCACGTATAAGATAGGCACTCACCACATATTCGATAGGCACTCACAACATGTAAGATAGACACTCACCACATATTCGATAGGCACACACCACATATAAGATAGGCACACACCACATATAAGATAGGCCCTCACCACATATAAGACAGGAACTCACCACATATAAGATAGGTACTCACCACATATAAGACAGGAACTCACCACTTATACGATAAGCACTCACCACATTTAGGATAGGCGCATACAAAGACGTCATCCTCTCTGATGGTGATGTCGTGGATGCCTTTGATGACGTCAATGGGGTTCTCCTGTATGGGAGGCTTTGGGAACAAATGACCATCCACTTCTACGAGAGTCATGCTGTCTCCGCCGGCATCCGGGATCTTTACCACTGCCATCCTCAACTGTCACAAGAGAGGGAGTTATTAACGCACGGTAGTGTAGTCTATCATAACAATGATGTTCCGTTCGTATCAAGTCAGCGTCGACCACACAAGTTTTGTGGCAACTAAATCGCATGCAATAATTGATTACTGGTCCCCTGCTGAAATCAATGTTTGATGGCCAATGTTACCTGACAAAGGTAAATCGATTCAAGGTGTGATCTTAGTGGACAATGAAATTATACACCAATGTATAAAAACTCAAACGAGGTCACGTGACCAGTTGAGAAACTTTTTCTGGTTATAACATTATACAGTTTGTTTCGCCATGTTATGCCCTTATGAATGGCATATCGTTCCATTAAGTGGATGATGATGGATATATTCCTCGAACAAGGTAAAAGCCTGATATTATTGCTGTATTTTAAGTCGTATTTAATTTTTCGCTCTCGTGTGTGTGTGTGTGTGTGTGTGTGTGTGTGTGTGTGTGTGTGTGTGTGTGTGTGTGTGTGTGTGTGTGTGTGTGTGTGTGTGTGTGTGTGAGTGTGTGGAATTGTTGTCCCGGAATACAACGAGGGGCACAAGTGGGGCACGAGTCGGTATTCGGCTTGTCCCGGAAAACAAAATGCAACAAAAGCAACATTCGTCACCACTCGCCCCTTCCGTAACCCACAAGAAGGTATTCCCGTGCTTGTCCCGGAATACAACGAGTGGGGCACAAGTGGGGCACGAGTCGGTATTCGGCTTGTCCCGGAATAACACGAAATGCAAAAGCAATAACCAGTCTACGGACAAATTGCTCTGGGATGTGAGTGTCCTTTAAGGTATAATTTAACGCACCTGGTAATATTATCGTCTATTTAATTAAATTCAATTTAATTAACTATTTAATGCTTATGTAGGTCAGGCACTTAATCCTCAAAATGACATGGTGACCCAGGCTGACAGTGTGGTCAGTGACAAAGGTCTGGATATCACCTTCCCCTGAGAGCGACTAGACAGCTTGAATCATTCAGGAATAGGGTTAATCGTTTGTTAAGCATAAACTCTAACCTAGGTCAAGTGACAGGTGAGAATATGATATGTTCGGGTATGTCTTCTTACTAAAAATA